GTTGTTCTTGTTGCCGGGGCAAATCAATATACATAAATGATGACATCTTAAATAATTTGTAAATTGCCGGCTGCCGCAAATGTACACAAAAACAACAACAACACGATCCATTTAAGGTATATATATATTATATATATATATATATTTATATATATATATATATATATATGTGGGTGATGTGGAGTATAAGATAGATGTTGAATGTGTCTCTCACTTGAATGCCTTATTTTCACCCTCGGGGCGACAACGCCAACGCCAAAGCCAGCTTAACAACAACAATGTCAGGACAATAACAGGACAAGCTTTTCGCAAAATACAAAAAAAAAAAACCAAAAACAACAACAACAATACGAAGAGGAAAATTACCAACAACAATGACGTCTAGGGATGACGACGGTTGACACGAAGGACCGCCTCGCCCAAGCTCAAATTGGAAATAACCAAAGAGTCCTTATGAATGGGGGCACCCATGAAAGAAGGGTCCCAGAAAAATAGAACTGAAAAAATCATGGATGGACCATGTCCGCAAAACAAGAAGTCAGACCGGTAGTTTTATAAGACAACTGGAAGTTACTTATGTGCTATGACAAAAAATTAGAAAACTTTTTAGATCTGTTACCAAATGTACTTTTGTAGATGCTCAATATAAATATGAATATAGCATTTTTAAAGTTACTTTTAACTAAACCTATAAAATTATAGGCCAAAGATAATATATCTTTCTTTTAAACGTTTTGTTTTTGAAAACCCGTCAGTTATTGAAAACTTAATAAAATTTTTCCTCCATATAAAGTTTTGTATTATAAATCTATAACTATTTTATGAACAAATTGTACAAATAATCCAAAAAGTAATATTTATATTAGCTTATCCTTTTGTTTTTGACAATTAGAGAATATAAAATGACAAAAATTGTAATTAGTACATCGACTAAATAGATATTTTTATGGTACTTAGACAATGGGTGCCTTTTAAGGAAAGAATTTTTAAGAATAAAGAATTTTGTAATGAATATTTTAACTTCAATTAACTTTAAATGAAATGTTGTAAAACTTAATTTATAGTTGTAGTACAACTGTACTTTAATGAGAGACGCGACTATTAATTTTTATATCAAAACAAATGATTAGAAGGGGCACCCTAAAAAACCAACAACACCAAAACGCAATCAGTATCTTCCTCGTCATATAAAGTTTTGTATTTTTTTTTTTTGGATGCGGTGGGTTTGATTTTCGAGGCGACTGTAAGGGGAGGATTCGAAGGGAGGAGGGTCCTTGCTTTTTTTTTGGCCTAGGCGCTGCCATTTTATTAGAAAACGCCATGTAGAAAGACGGCGATAGCAAATTCACCATTTTGTCACACACGCAGGACATCAGACACACACACACGCACACACACACATAGGGAAAGGCAGAGGCAGGCGACTTTTATAAACATCCAGTCGGCGAGGTTGGCAAGCAAAAATAGCAAAAACAAGGACTCCCCCTTTGTTCTTTTTTCACCCTGTTAGCGTTTTTTTTTTCTTTTACAACAAGAAATCCTCCCCTTTGGCGGTGGTGACAAATCTGAAAAGGACGAAGTCCTCGACTAAGTGAAACTCACCACGACAGCGACGCCGGCAGAAAACCACCCTTAGTCCTTGCTCCTCTTTACACTCACTCTCTCTGGCTCTGTCTGGCTCTCTCTCTCTCTCATTCTCTCTCTCTTTGGCTCTCTTTTCGCTCTCGAGTGTGTCTTGGTTGTCCTTTGAGAAGCACTTGGCCAATGGTGACACATGACCACCGGGACTACCCGCACACCATCACCTTTTATTATCCTCTCACTCACACATACTCACACACACCCACACGCATGAGCCGTTAATTTTCCCGGTTTTTTTCCGTGGGTTTTCTTCTCAGTTTTCCTTTTTGTATTTTATTTTGTTTGGGGCCTGAGTGCAAAACTATCCGGAATTGGGGCAACAAGTGGTTGGAGGATCGTTGAGGATGATTTGGGAGGTTCTATTATACATCCCGCCGTTAATTTCATTAAAATATTTGTAATTACATTGGCTCAGAAGTTTGTTAACAACTCATTATTAAATAGTGAGCAATGTGGAATTTTGGAGGGTATGCGCCAAAACTGAAATTGGATTGTGGAAAGAAAACCAGACAAACAAATTCCTGTGAGGTTAACAGAGTAACATTGTATTAATATCTGTTCCGCCTCATCTATATTTTAGATTTAAGATTTTTAATTTTGTCATTTACTTTCAAATCGTAATTGATTTTAAATACAAAATTGAGCCAAAATTATTTTCCATTTTTCTATAACCAGAAAATATTTTGTATAAAATGGGAAGTTTATAATTTAAAACTGAATTGAATTTTGCCCTTCAGTGATCTTGAATACCCTACACTGTGCAAACTTTTTCGCAACCGAAAGTCGCCCGCGAATAACACATAACAACCCTGTCTTATTTCGGAGTGCAAAGAATCCACCCCCAAGGCAAACTCGCTGAAGACGAAGCCTGTTTTCTTGTTTTTTTTTTGTTTTGTTTTGCCACCACAGCGAAAGAAACCCAAGTAGAGTGTCGTCACCGTCCCACAGATGGCGCCACCTGATGCGTTGATGCGTTGGCGGCCAGATGGCGGTAGTGTGCGCAAATAGGGGAGTTTTTTTTGAACAATTCTTAAATTACTTTTGAAATTATCTAAATTTATTAAAAATTCTAATGGTAGTAATACAAAATTATTAAGTTTGCTACTAATTACCTACACCACTATTTTTATGTATAGGATAAAAAGAGGAATGAGATATTCAAGGGCTAAAAGCTGTCCAGTGAGGGCATAAAAAAAAGGATAAATTACTTAACGAACTTTGACAAGAGGAGTAAAAAAGTGGGGAAATAAACCGAGGAATCAAGGAGGTGGTCCGGCAGTGCATAAATTTCCGACCCATCACCATATGTGTGTGGGTGCATGGGGTTGGGATAAAGTTCGTGGGTGTGTGGGTTCGTAGAGAACAACAAACAGCTGGCGGTCATATTTTCCAGTCAACAAGGCAGCAACAAACATTACCGGGCTGTCGGATCTGCCTACTGCATCCATCCCAGAATTCTGCCAGTTTTTCGCCCAGTTTTCCTTGGATTTTTCGGGCAGCTGCTGTTGGCTTTTAAGCAGAAGCTCACACATATGTATATGTATGTTATGAAACGCGGGGGATTGAGGGGGATTCCCGAATCCCGGCACGGGCTCTTTATTAGAGTGACCCCAAAATGGAGCTCGCAAGTCGGTGGTCCCTGAAATTCTCGTCATTCCACATGGAGCCCCCCGGATTTTTGGCCTTGTGAGCCAGACACTGGGCTTTCGAGCGCCTATTGCATTCCACTTGACTCGGAAAACTCTTCACGGTATGTCAAGTATTCATTTTGCAGTTGTTTTTTATTACAGTTTGAAATTAAATTATATCGAAAATAATGCCGTAGCCACGGGCTATATGGGGGTCATAATTGAAATTAAAAAAATCATTTTTATACAGTGGACCATAGAAGAACAATTTTTTCTTGTTTCATTTTAAACTCTTTCGCATTGAGCATTTTTGTACTTTTATTTTAAGTGTTTTATATACTCATATTATTGAGTATTTTTATTTTTCTACTTTGTCTACATTATTGATTTAATTACTGTTCTAAGGCATTTATGTACATATGTACATACATTAAAGCGGTGTTTGTACAAATACCGAATACTTTAAGAGATATAATAACAATTTTGAATTAAACTATATTGTTCGAGAGTGACTAACAACTTCTTATAATTTACAACACAGTTAAACGAAGTTATATTAGGATTTTTAAAAAACTTATACTTAAAATGAACATAAGAAAACCAAAGTATGGAAAGAAATACCAAAAATAAGATTTATAACACCGTTTTCGAGCAAATTATCGCTGACTGTTATGGCCAATTTCCCGTTTTTGCCATATTCGACGTTACCATTTTCGCCACGTATTTTTTTCGGCCCTCTCCTGGGGTCGAACCAAAATGGCTGCCTCTGCTGCCCATCCATTTTCATCCAGCCAGGCTGGGGCAGCCCCAATTTTCCCGTTCTCATTTCCATTTCCATTTCACTACCCATCCTGGACACACTCAATTTTCACAGGCGAGTGTGCGGGTGTGTGTGTGTGTGTGTGTGTCCAGTCCATAGCCAAAAGTTATGGATTCAACTTTTGGCCAATTTAATTTTCTCGCCTGAAACGGCTACAGAGCAACGTCAGCAGCAGCATTCACAATCACCCCACTTGACCAGACCACCACCACCACCCACTGGAAAGGCCACCCAATCACCCACTCACCCACACACATGTGCGTAGTGCGTGTGCATTGTGAGGACGTGGTCGACTGTGCTGTTGGCCATGGCTGATGAGGCTGATGATGCCCACGATGCCCACGATGCCCGTGATGCTGGCCAAAACCCCACTGAAACCCACCCAAAACAACTGGACCCAACTGAACCGTACCGAACGATAGACCGAAGAAGCCTACACTGCCAGAAATAAGGGAAGCATTTGGATTTAGCGAACAATCTATAGCCCACAATTCAAAAAGCCGTTAGCTTATACATATTTCATTTTCACAAGTAGTAGCACTTTTACAACGAAATACAAGAAATTAGTTCAAATGATATGTATGCACAGCTGTGGACAAAGTAATATTAGTCTTTAAGTTTATGGAAAATGCGTATTTGAATACAAATTAATAGACTAATTGTCTTATGCCTTTAAATTGTCCCATTTATATTATTGCGACCGCAACTGTATATGTATGTCGGGAACCGATACAAACTTGTACAGGTAATTTAATGTATGTATGTATTCTTGTTTTAATTTCGTCAGCATCGCTGAGAACTGCAATCTAAACAACTGTAAATCTCTTTGGAGAGATTTTGTATGTATACTAGGGCAATTTGAGGAGATATGGAGAGATAAGACGAGACAAGAGCACCTTATCTCTTCGATCTGCGCAGTCAGTCGCTCGTTATCGTTTTTGTGTGCAAACGTCGATGCAAATAAACGATTTTAAATTAAATTAAACTTCGGTTTCGGCACCATTTTGGCCACGCTCATTTTATAAATCAACTAAGTGAACTTATAGTAATTGTTCACCCAATTTTAAGAAAGAAATCTACACATAAATGGAAAGTGATGGAAGTCAGTAATCAATCTATGGAAAATTTGGAATCGCAAATGACATAAAAATAACGGATTTTGAAGGTAATATCGTATTAGTAACTCTTTAAAAGTCTGCTGGATTTTTAAAGTAAACCATGGAAAAGCGAAACAGCCAACTTCATAAGGTTATAACACGTAAATACATTTATTACAATTAAAATATACTTTTTCAAAGTCAGCTACAATCATTCCTAAATGAATATGAGGAATTTAATTTAAGACGCTTAATTTGAAATTAAAAGTACTGGTATAACTAGGACTTCAAACCTATTAAATTTTCTTACAATCATATCGCACTTATCTTACATTGCTTTTAGTTGCGGTGGCTGAAGATTATTGATGAAGATAAGCTCTCTTTTCGAAAAATAGAATAAAAGAGAATGTGATGAGAGTTTCGTTAAGAAAGAGAGAAAAGAGCTGAATCAGCATAGATTGTATAGTATTGTATTAAACTAATAGCAGTGCTTAAAAAACAAAGAAGTTCTTTAATCATAAAATTTAAAGTGATTTTATTTCTGATAATGCAACTTATTTGAAGAAATAGGTAGAGATTAGTGGCTTAACATATATGGAAAGCTTAAAGAGAACGTTTACTGTTTTAGCAATTTTCTTTTTAAAGTTGCTTTCTCATTTAAAGTATTTATTTTATTTTACCAACATTTTCTGACAGTGTTGTTAACTGAACCGAGACTCTCGTGCTGAGGCCCGCATTTACAGATGATTTAGCTCATGTTTAAGGCCAGGACTCTTTGCTCTCGACCCGAGGCGGTGCGTCTGTGTGTGTCTGTTCGTGTGTGTGTGTGTGGACACATTGTGCCCCATTAGTTTCTGGCCCAACAGCAACAACAACAAGAACAACAACAACAGCAGCCAAAGCAAAGGAGTCAAAAGGAGCAGCCAAATTTGCATCGAAGCTCCTTTTCCATGTGTGTACAGAATTTGTGGAATTTTGCTGCTCTGTGAATGTGTCCCAAGCTCCAAAGTGGTTGTTGTTCCAGTTGTTGTTGTTCTTGTTTATTTTGTTGTATTTATTGTTGTAATAAGCAATGTTTTATGCACGCACTCTCCACAGGATGGATGGATATGGATATAGGAGGCATAGATGGATGTATGATATTCCACCCCCGAAAATTTCCTTGGGCACACGAGTGAGTGACCAGTTTTCCAGTCCATTTAATTTTGTAGCTAGCCCGCAGTTTTGCTTTTTCGTTTCGTTTTCAGGCAGGACTGCCTGCAATTTGTCCGGCTTTTTGATGATGGCTTAATAAAATTAGTTAATGCCTTTTCGACATGTGTGTGTCTGCGTGTGTGTGTGTGTGTGTGTGTGTGTGTGTGTTTTCTTGTAGTGTTTTTCCCGACTGCATTTGACACTCTAAAATTTCCCTGCGGAGATCAGGAAAATCGTGTGTACGTAAATAGATTGCAGCAGCTATCAGAACTATATATTTATGCATTTTAATTCTATTTATTAGCCGTCACCGACAAGTTTGCCCCTCATAAACATCACACAAATGCCCAAAGGATGAACCTTATTGGGTTCCATTTATTGAGCTAAAATGAAACATAAATTGTATATTTTGGCAAAAAAAAATTAAACAAAAATTAAGATACATATATGGCAAAGGGATCAAGGAAAGAAATGACTTTTGTGAGTTCAAGTGAGATGGGATTAAGGCATTGAATTGGTTTTAGTTACTTTAACTTTATAGAAAAAAAATGTATGATGGCTGCTATTTCAAAAGCTTAAGAAAATAACGAGCACATCTTATTCTTTTAGAAATAAAACTTGTTTGTAAATATTAGTATTGAAATTGGAGGTTTTCAAAGAAACTAACACTAAACTATATCTTAAAAAAGGTTTATTGACTAAATACTGAAAATTTATCAATTGCTCTTTGAGTTCACAATATAATAAAGTTTTATATTGTTCATGGTTATAAGTAGAATCAATCGATCGATTGACGCCCTGCTTACACAATACCAGTTATAGGGTGACCTTTGGCAAGGGAAAATGCTGTTTTTATCATCCCAAAGCCCACACATTTTCGCTGCCTGATTTCAAAAATTTGCTCGGCCCCCAGGAATGTCGTCTTGGTGCTTTCCTTTCGTCCTGCGGGCTGAGGAGTCGGCAAAGTTGCGCTGAAAAAAAAGGCAACCAAGTACAGCTACTTTCAAGTTGAACTTTCACCCACACACATACATACACACACTCGCATCCATACACACACGCACACATGTTTAACCAAGCGAGTCTTGAGTGTATGAGTTGAAGTGGAGCAACTTCATCTGACGCTCCTGCAACTTGGGGCTAACTTTTCAGGGATATCAGGGAGGATACGCTTTGAAAGAATGCCGACAAGACTGTCCCCACCACTGGCGTAGCTCAAAAGGGGAATTTTTAAAAACTTATCAAAGGGTTTTATAAAACATTTTCAGAAGCGTTTTGCCTATCTAACTTACAAAATTGAAAGAGCTTGGAACAAAATACTATAATTTAGGTAAAGCCAATAATATTTTAAATCAATTAGTGAGATAGTTATATTTTTTCCACAATTTTATGTCAGCCTAAAAGATATATAGTGTCTTTACTTTGAATGCTTGAATTTAAGAATCCATAGTGAAAATTTATACGCTAAAATTTCACATCAAGAGGTATCAGCAAAATGCTAAAATTTTCTAGTGACACAAATAATTAACTATATTTTTAAGAACAATCAAAATTACAAAAATTGCAAACTTATTAATTTTTTTCTGGGAAGACACATCTAATACGTAATCTTATTTACAGAAAAGCATTTTCGGTCATTACAAAATTATGAATTATATCAAATTCATCTAGATTTTGTAACCCCTTTAATTTAACCCTATGATGGACCTTTTTAGCAAGCCCCCCTTCACAGAACCCCTGTCATTCTGCCCGTTGTTTGGTTTTGTTTAGCTTAATTTGTGCACTTGCTTTGATGTGTCGACTCACTCACCGACTTGGTCTTGTGGCCCCCTTGAAAATGGGGACTGGCATTTTATATATCATTTTCTTGAGGATGCTCTTCTTGGGCCGTTTTGCGATTATCTGACGAGTGGCACTCCTGGTGCCTCCGCTCCAGTTAGTTCTTCCCGTGAATTCCGTTGAGGATGTGGCTGGCAATTGGATTGAGCTGGGTGTACTTGTATATAGTACATATACATTCACCTGCCGGGGTCCGCAGGTGTGAATCGCACATATAAACATATGAGAGTTAAGAACTGGAGAGCTGGAGTGCCGTACTTTGGCCTTTAAATGCCAAAGAAAGCTATTCAGGATGTCCTCAAGTTCCACGCTGCTTCCAGCTCTTCCGCGTCCTTGTTATTTTTTTTCTTTTGAAAAAGAAGGGGTCTCAATTAAGTGGCGTCTGACGTCATTTGAGGAAATGTTCCTAGCCTTGAGAAGGAACCTAAATTATAAATATAACATTATTAGTAGAATTTAAAGAGTCTTTTGGTATTATTCGTGAAATTTGGATTGTGAAGTTAGTTTAATAAGACAAAATTTTATTTAAATCTAAACCAAATAGTTTTATTATCATGCATAAACTATAAATAATTTTCTATTTAGACCAAATGGTAGTAATTTTCTGACTTTAATTTTATCAATATTGATTTCTAAAGAAAACTTTAATTTGTAAATGTTTTATAAACAGTAAAAAATATTTTAAACTTATGCGAAGGGTTTTATATAATACGTAACTTGTTATAGTCACTCGACTAGTATTATATATTTAATTGGTGTTACTATTTCTGTTGTGTTTATAATGAGCAAGAAAACCATACGATTTATGAAATAGTAACCCAGAAAACCAGATGAAATATTGAATGGTGGCCAAACCCATTTCCCAGTTGGGCTATTAATTCTCGGAAGCTCAGTCTTCGGTAAAATCTTGCCTCATTGTTCTCGGGCAATCAAGTGCACTTGTCACGATCTCCCCCCAACTACTGAAAATGTTTTATTTTCTGGTTTCTAGGTGTGTGCCGAGTGTCGAGAGCGGCGTCACCGAACCGAGATAAGATCGCTTCCAATCCAATTCGAAATCCCAAAAACCCAAAAGACTACAATCCAAAATCCAAGACACACAGTCCATAGCCCCAAACCCTTAAGCCAATCCCGAATCCATTCATAAAAATTTCAGCTGCTTAATATGCAAGCTTCGTCTGCGTTTTTCAACCTCTTCAGCCGATGGGTAATTTCTGCTGTAATTTTCTTTGACTGGCCAATTGCTTTTCCTTTTATGAAGTGTCACATGAAATTTTGTAATTTTCGTATCCATCACAGGTGGAATAAAGCCAGGTAGACGGGCGTTTAAAGTGTCAGGCGACACTCGTTGGGAAATTTGTCAGGGTTTGGCAGCCGACTGCTCGCGGTCAGTGTAGTTTTGGCCATTATGGAAATTGCCAGAATGTAATGCAGGCCAAAAAACCCATTCCCTTTCCCCACTTTGACCCACTGCACAGGAGAAAAATAGAATGACACCTAAAAGTATGAAAGCCTTGAGGTAAAAGCAACATTATAATATTGCAATTACAATTTTAATAACTTTATGATAATCATGAAAGATTGGCCTGGCCAAATTAAAATAAAAAATATTTAAACTTACTGTCGCATTTTAATTATATACCCATTTTTCGCCCCGTGTGGTATTGCTCTCTTGGCAATTTATGCCGCCGCACACTTGTGGGCCAACTTATGGCGCATAAATTGTCGACCAACAACATAATTAATTTCAATTGACTCCGAAACTAACAGCAAACTGCAAACTGCAAGGGGTTTGGGTTCCGAAACTTCGGCTCGGTTTGGTTTGGTTTTGGTTTGGATAATGTTGTTTAGACAATATGTTCAATAAAACTTTCCTGCCTGCCTTGAAACACCACCGCCAAATTGAAAACCCCCTTTGAAATCCCCGCCAACAGATGCCCCCGAATATGCAAAGCTGGTCAAAAGTTTACGGCTCTGCCATGGCTGTCAGTGTTGTCAAAATAAATGTTTTGTAGCCACCAACTTACCTTATCTA